TATGGAATGTTCGTCTGGATCTAAACAACATTGTTGATTATTATGGAATGTTTGTCTGGATCTAAACAACATTGTTGATTAGTGTGGAATGTTCGTCTGGGTCTAAACAACATTGTTGATTATTATGGAATGTTCGTCTGGGTCTAAACAACATTGTTGGTTATCATGGAATGTTCGTCTGGATCTAAACAACATTGTTGATTATTATGGAATGTTTGTCTGGATCTAAACAACATTGTTGATTAGTGTGGAATGTTCGTCTGGGTCTAAACAACATTGTTGATTATTATGGAATGTTCATCTGGATCTAAACAACATTGTTGATTAGTGTGGAATGTTCGTCTGGATCTAAACAACATTGTTGATTGTTATGGAATGTTCGTCTGGGTTTTACAAGGTAATTATTAATACACAATGTAACTAATTACAATTTCTAAACGTAATTCATGACTTGCAGATATTAAAATAATATATTTTATACCAAGTATCTTCCAGTTCTTTTACAAAAACAAAACATCAAACCTTGGTCTGTTTATATGTCAAACTTCCTAACAGAAATAAATTGTTACATGAGAACATGGTACTTATTACAGGATTTCTGTTATATATTTACAATAGTTTTCATATTCCTCTCTTCTTTAACGTGAGTGATTTCTAAGTTATTTACTATTCTGCAGGTTTTGAAATGGACCTTGTAGGAAACTTGTAACGTACATTTTTGTGGTAATATCTTTTATTTTGACATGCTATACTTTCTATTTTTTTTATACATACATAACTTTAAGTGTTTTTATTTTTCAGCCATCTCTGGACATGACTGAGCTGCTTCATTGCCTTACAAAAGAGGGGTTAAGGTGTGTTTTCAGTGTGGTGGTGTGAAAAATATGCTGACCAAACCAGTTCTAATAGGTACTAGCTGTTTATCAGTGTATGTCCTGCTGACTGTCTATTAGCTTAATAATATGAATTAATAATAATACATTTTTATTTTCCTTTCAGGGGTTTTCCCTATATATTCTGTATTTTCAATTGTTCACAATAAAGTGTTTTAAAAAAAAAAGGAAAAGCTCTCTGGTGAGAAAACGTTTAGCACGTGATGAAATCTCATGTTTTCAAATATATCAGACTAAGGCTACTTTTGTTGCTTTTTTAACCTCGTGTGGATTTAGAGGTCGAAGTGTGCATGTCACGACCTTTTACACAGTGCCACTCAACATGGTGGTATGTAGGTGATTATCTGACATTACTGATTTAGGGACAGTTCATGGCACAGTAAATACCAAGTACAATACACTGAATACATTATAGATATGAGTTTTAGAGATTCAAGAGGTTGTGTAAACTGTGCGATGGGCAAAGGTATTTTTTTTTATTCACATGAAAATGACCTTACATTCCAACTTGTCTGAGTCAGATTGCCGTTGTCAATTCGTAGGCACATCTCGAGCACAATTACTTTTGTAACACTTCTCATCTGATGTCCATTAACAACCCCGGCCTAAAGAGAGTTTCATCAGAATTTCACACGTTATGTGGTACTTGATCAATCTCGACTACAGGCTGTTGACAAACATTGACAATTTTCAGAATTTCGGGAAAGTTTATTGAGTTTCTAAATTTTTCCAAGATTCTGGCTCATACACAAACAACAAACTACAGCAGTCTTGTAAGTATTTCAAAGCTTATAGAATTCTGAGCAGACAGATCAGTAAGTGTACGTACAGAATTCAAATAATTTATATTATTTTCTTCAAATTTAGGGTTAGGCACTAAGATAATTTTCATGCACAGACTACGGATCCTATAATCTGAGCGTAATATTGACTTAACACAAGTTTTACTCTTGCTACCGAAATTCTGCGCATGCCCACATCAATCACATTGAATCGATATTGTTGTATGACTATCTGCTATCGAATGTTGTAGTGAATAACAACGTCGTGGACTCCCGAAGCATCTCGGGAATCTGTCAAATTAAATTATCTTCATAACTGTCATTTTTATGTTAAATTTTTTTTTCCTGTAATTTAATTTTTACACAGGCATGCGAAGGTTTTATTGTCTTGAAATTTTTTACATGATCTACACCAATTCCTGTACGCTGAATACGAAAATGATATCCATTTTTCTCCATCACGTACAGGTTTTTCACAAAACGTCATAACGCGATACATAAAAGAAAGACCACAACACGTAATTTTGAGACTAAAAA